GCGCAGTGCGACGGAAATGCAGTCAAAGAATTAGGTTAAAGCTGTTGTTGCCACCATTGTAAATACCCTGTAATTGGTCACAGGTCTGGGAAGACGAGCATGCCAGACTGTGGCGATCAAATAAAGACGTGTCTCAAAGGAAATTACTATATATCGCTTATGTCATTAGACTTGCTTTATCATATATATCCTTATCATCGGCTGATATTGCACGAATTCTAGTGATTGGATATTGATAATATCGATATTGCTAATGGCACTACTAATACTAATGCTAATGGTAATGCCAATGCAACTGTTGATGCGGATGCTAATAATATGAACTACTATGCTAATGCCAATACTAATGCTAATGCTAATGCTAATGGCAATAATAATACCAATAATAAGGGCTAATACTAATGCTAATGCTAATGCTAATGGCAATACTAATACCAATACTTAGGGCAATACTAATACTAATACTAATGGTAATGCTAATGCTAATGGCAATACAAATACCAATAATAATGGCTAATACTAATGCTAATGCCAATACTAATGCTAATGCTAATGGCAATACTAATACCAATACTTAGGGCAACACTAATACTAATGGTAATGCTAATGCTAATGGCAATACTAATACCAATAATAAGGGCTAATACTAATGCTAATGCAACTATTAATGCAAATGCTCATACTTATACTAATACTTATGCTAACAATATTAATTACTATGCTAATGCTAATTCTAATAGTAATGCCAATGCTAATGCCATTACTATTGCTAATGCTAACATTAATAATCACTATGCTAATGTTAATGTTAATACTTATACTAATGCTAATACTAATGCTAATGCTAATGCTAATACTAATACTATTGCTGGTGCTAATGCCAATACTATTGCTAATGCTAACATTAATAATCACTATGCTAATGCTAATCTTAATACCTATACTAATGCTATTGCTAATAATAATAATAACAATTATAATACTAAACGAATGATTATGCACATAGCCATGACAATGATAATGAGAATGCTTAATCTAAAGCTTATGCTTATGACAATGACTATGCTAATCCATAATGATGTCTACGATATCATGAGATTGCTAGCATCTACATATAATACTATGAAGTTCTTAGACTAGTTCAGTTTTCCCGAACCCAGGTCTGTTTCTGTATGTATTGTCAATTTTACAGGGTATCTGTGCGAGTGGCCACTGTTTGAGTGCTGCATTCTGACAGCTTGCTGTTCGCTGGTGTTTTAGTTGCTGTTGATATTTGCCCGCTTCGTTTCGTTTCGTTTCGCTTTTAAGTGTCGCCGGCATGCGTGGTAAAAGCTGAAGCTGCAACTGAAGCTGCAACTCATGCAACTCATCCCCAGCCGCAGCTAAGGCGGCTTAGAAAGCGGCTGCAATGCTCCAGCTCCAGCTCCAGCTTCAGCTCCAGCTCCAGCTGCAGCGCCAATTGCTGCTCCCTTTTGTCAGCACCATCCTTAGAATGGCCCTCGACAAGAGTCGACGGCATATGAGGCATGCCGCATGTGGCACTTGCTGTGCGATCAATTTCACTTTCTCAGCGACGGCAACGGCAATGGCAAGAGCCAAAAAACCAGGTCCAAACATTGAAAGTCAATTAGCTGCTGTCCAAAAAGATTCTTCGGCTGCTCCACTCTCCACAGAGAGATAGAGACAGTGAGAGGGGGCGACGCAGGGGACTGAGCTTAGGGAGTGGGCAGTGGTCCACTCATCAATTATGGCTTTTGTTATTGTTGTCATGCCTCAGTTTTGAAACGTTTTTTGTACATTTTTGTTCGTCTCTTTTTTTTTTTGTTTCTCGTTTTTTTTTTGGCAAACTGGGCGTGCGAACACAGGCACTCACCTATTCAGGCACACAGACAGACACACACACACACACACACAGACACAGACAGACACACACTTGTACAGGTACTCATGCGAATACTCCAACTGATACTCACTCGTCTTTGAGTTGACCGTTGAGAAGGCCTCGAGGCGCCACACTCGGCTTTGTGTACCTACATGTGTAGTACTTCTGCTTCTTCTTCAGCCTGATCTTCCTCTTCTGATCGGCTCTTTTCTCCTAATGTGTTTATTTTGATGGCTCTACCGATCGCAGATGAAAGTTAGCAAAACAAATATGCGACCCAGCTTGGTGGCCCAGAACATATCCTACAGCTAAACATATTCGGATATACTTAATGACTTATTTATACATTTTCGGATATACTTAATGACTTATTTATACATTTTCGGATATACTTAATGACTTATTTGTAAGTTAAAATTGATATAAAATTATAATAAACTTGGAGTAAAGTACTTGTTCTGCAACACGAGCAATCAAGATTTTCGGAGTCCGAATATAGAATACAAAGAAATCGAATTAGGGTCTCACAGGAATCGCATATGAAGGAGAAAATATATAGCTGCTGTCCAGCTAATTAAAGTCTTTATATAAAGTCTTTTATATATGAATAAACATAAGATTTTGGGCCAATCTAATTTTCCCTGAATTTGAAATTCAACCTATTTCATTTATAAGATCAGTCAATGCCAAGTTTTCTTATATATTGAGAAATAATCATAAACTTTTGGAGACTCAACAACATTTGTCCTAGTTCCAGTCCTTCATTGAAATTTATGTATAATAAATGACAGTTTCGGAGTTAACCCAAATTAAAAAAAAAAAAAAAAACGCTATTTCCTTTTATTTTTAGCTTCATTCAAAAACAACAATTTATATGAGCTCGAGCTCGCTTAACTTCCCAAAGTAACATATGTCCTGATTGCATTCGGAGTCAATCCGAATTAGCTTATTCATTTTTTTTTTTTATATATCACTCTGGGTAACAAAGCTGAACGTCTTACAGATCGAACAATCTTAATTTAACTCAATTTTATCCCATTAAAAAATTCGGAGTCTCTCCGAACTCCAACAGATCTTGTTTCGTAACATTTAGTTGCTTTATGTTTTCGATAACATAAGACTAAGGTGAAACAGTTAGACTTTTGGTAGCTTGTTGAGTAGGCTGTCATCAATCAATCAATCAATAAATATTCGGAGTTCGGAGTTAGCCCATTAAAGGTTTCACAATAATAATTTAGCAGCATGGCTTCATGTGAATGACAAATAATAGCAAATAAATTTTCACTGTGAGACGATATACCCCATTTGGGTTAAATGGATGCGGGGTATAAGAAGTATGAAAGAAAAAACACAAGTAACACACGCACTTTCCAAACGAAAACAAAATCGTAGATCAGCAAATAGCATCACGAAGTGAGGCGTTCGAAATGCTGCGCTAGACCGGGGCACCCATCCCAGCCCATCTAAAACGATACGCGATGACAGAGGGAGACGCCAGATAAAGAGAGAGAGAGTGAGAGAGAGAGAGAGAGAGCGACGTTGATTGTAAAGTATGCAAAGTGTTTGGGCAACGCATGCGCAAACAAATGAATGAAATGAAATGAAATGAAATGAAATCGACTCGTGTGCCGCTAGTTGTTTGTGGCAAGATGGATGGTGCAGCCGCAAGGGCACGCACGAGCAGCTGCCCGCGCATAACTTAAGCCTGCCCCACAGAGAGCGCTGCAGCCACAGCCAGAGCCAGAGCCATAACTCTTGGCCAACTAACTTTTGACTACAATGATTGATCAAAGACGAGCTGACACAGTTCCACAGCACTTGACTGCTCAAAAGTATTCGCATACAGATGAGCTGCTGCGCATGGCCGAGCACATGACGATTGCAGACAGAATTTCTGGTGCACGTCAGCTCCATGCCATACATCATGATGTATGCACATATATTGTGAGCTCAAAGCTGTTGAAAGTGACATCAGAAATTTATGTTGTCTACATGAAAACTTATTACACAGTTTATTATTAGTTTCATCAGTCCATACATCATGATGTATGCTAGTGAAATGACATAAATTACTTATAAAAAAAAGCTGGGTTGGTTCTTCTCTTTTATCTAATTTAGCTTTGTACATCATGTCGTATGATTTACGTCAGTCAATCAAAATGTATTATAGTCGTACATCATCATAAATCTATAATATTCTTATCAGAATTCAAGGACTGGCAAGCTAGATATGTATATGCTTCACTGAGGCATAATAGTCTTACATCATAATGTATGTCTTATAGATTATGGAATGAAAACAGGGGATAATTCAATGCAATAATGTGACAACAGCTTGTCCATCAATCAATAATTGATGAATTACTGTGTATACCATTGAACATGAATAGCATTATTATTCACAAGTCTTACATCATGATGTACGCATGTATGAATAAGCGTTAAGAGAGCTTAAGCCAACATCTTAATGGCTTTATGATTACGATGTCTCGATATGGGATAAACTCTATAGACTTGTGAATGGCACTGACTCTCAATGGAGACGAGCTCATCCAACTCCAACTCCAACTCGAACTCGAACTCGAACTCGAATACTATAAGAGCTAGATTACCGAAATTTGGTATGTGAATGGCTGGTGGAATGGCCGGCCGACTGCCTTTAGCCCACGCAGCAGAAGATATTTTCACTTTTTTCAATCTGAGCAGCGTCAATCGATAAAAAGAAATAAAAAAAAAAAATCAAATAAATAACGAATTGCAACCACAACGATGATTATTGGAGGCAGCAATTGTTGTATGCATTCCCAAGCCCCAAGCACTTCCAGTTGGCATTCTTCTCAGTCCAATTGGGCAACAGCAAAACTCGGAGAATGTTGATGAAACTGTTTTGGATGGCGCAGCTGCTGCTGCTGCTGGTGGTGCAGTGGTGCTGCTATGGTGTTTGTGCATTGAGCGATGTCCAGCCGCGACATTTGGCTTTGCGTTTGCCGCCTGCCAGCTGAGAAGAAAAAAGGCATCAATCAATTGCAAATAGAAAACAAAAATCTTCCAATCAGACGAATTGATCTTTGAATTGGTCTTGCTGCCGCCGCCGCTGCCGCTGCCGCCGTCGCTGCCTTCACCTGGGTGCGTACAGCGGCTGTGGCTGTGGCATGTTGCGCTTGCGGGTGGCCCCACCTGCCACAGCCAGAGGCTGTAACGCCGACAGCGATGCCAGCAGCGACTGCGACTGCGACTGCGACTGCGAGTGAGGATTTGGGTTTGGTGTTAGGAACGTGGCCCGGCCCGGCCCGGCCCGGCCCGGCTAGAGAAGAAAGTGTTAAGTCCAATTCCAAATATTCGCTGGTGAAATTTAAATCATTTTCAAATTTAATTACCGACAAATAAACGTTTGACATTCCAGACGAGCCGCCTGCCACCTGCTTGTCACCTGGGGGGCTTGTTGTTGTTGTTGTTGTTGTTGTTGTTGCTGCTGCTGCTGGTGTGAGCTGCTGGGCGTGCCGTTTGAGGCATTCCAGTGTAGAGCATCTCAACATCATTATCATTATCATTATCATCTGGCACCTCATAATGAGCATTGGCTCATTCTACGAATACGCACAACTTTTTCTCTTTTGTATTTTTGTTGTTGTTGCTGCTGCTGTTGCTGCTATTGTTGCTGTTGTTGTTGCTGTTGCTGTTGCTGCTGTAGTGATTGCTGTTGTCATTGCAGTCTTGTCCAAAAAAAAGAAAAAAAAAACGGTAATTTCAATGGCCAGCGCTTTTGCTTCATTAAGAAATCGGACCACAGTGCACAGTGGTGCAGAGCAAACAAACAATTAAATTTTATTAAACCCTCAATACAATTAAGATTATAAAATGCGATTTGAGACGATTACGAAATACGAGAAATAAAACGATGAATGGAAAGTGAAAAGAGGAAAACTTTTATATATACATGAATTATACATATATGCAAATATGCCATAGCGTATATACCAGACCTTATGCTAGACTATATACTTGGACTGTATACACAAACATACATATGTATGTACACAATACATATATACACATCTCATCTAGCCAGTTGAGTTTTCCGCTTTCACCCCAGAAATGGTTATTTAATTTGATATTTTATCAATTCGTATATTCAAACATATTCAACTGCCTGTCAAAGTTCAAATTAAGTTGACAAGCAGTTAAATGATCATTTCGCTTGCCGACTGACAGCATAAATTCGTGCCTGACCAGCTGGCAGCACTTAAATTTAAACCGCTTGCCAAATATATTTAACTGCATGGCAAATTTTAACAGCTAGCTTGAGCTAATCAATTTTAAACAAATTTTACGCCAGCTGCTAGCACCAGACTCTTAAAAAAATAAATAATAAAAAAAATTATAAGTCATCAACTCACTCTGATTTTCGCACAGTGTCATGTCACATGACGATCTATAGCTTGTAAACTGTAGAATGTCTGCCAGACAATCAGACAATCGAACAGTCATCTAGCCACCCACTGCTGGCCCCCTGCCCCATCCCGTTGGCCTGTTTTTCTGTCGGCACACTTCTTGCCATTGCAACAATGTTGCCACGCACTGTGAATCGAGTCGATGGGCTGTACACGCCCTTGGCATATGCGCCAATTGCCAGTAATTATACCCTGTACTTGCAATGGCAACATAAATACCAAATTACTATTGCTTGACTTTGATAATTAACTGCAAAACGGCATATCCGACTATAAAGAGTGTACAATATATCAAAAATATTAACAATTGCAAAAAATATTAAATGTTATTATTAATAAGCAATAATCAAATATTATATATATAAAAAATATTTTTAATAAATACTAGTCTAGTCTAGTCTCTAGTGCAGAATCATGCTAAGAATTATCATAACAATGATAGTAATAATACTGTAATACCACTAAATATCGCTCAATTCATATCATCATACATAACTACAGGGCAGCGTCTAGTCGAGCACTCCATCAGTTGCATCAAATCGTCTTGTTTTCATTCATCTTCAGCGCACTGGCATGTGTAAGTAAGCGCCTATGCGTGTGTGTGTGTGTGTGTGTTTATTCATTCGTTTATATGCGTGCATGCGTTTGTGTGTGTGTGTGCGATCAGGAGACATTTCTCGTTGGTCGTTTTCTCGCCTTTTTCGCGCTGGCCGCTCGTTTCTTTTCTTTTTTCTTTCTTTTTGGCGCACATAAAAAGCGGCTTTTCGTTTAAGTGCGTTGCGCCTGGATGAGTTGTCTGTCCGTCTGCGTCTGCGTCTGCGTCTACGTCTGCGTCTGCGTTTGCGTCTGCATCTGCAGTAAGTAAGATGACCGCTAAAGCCGGAACTGGCCATGGCCATGGCCGAGCGATGCAGTCGCAGTCGCTGTCGCTATCGCAGCGGCAGCGCGTCGAAAGTTGCGCCGCATTTGGGCTGGCCAATTGACTGACTAACTGGCTAACTGACTGACTGACTGGCTAACCAACTGACCAAGCCAGACGGAGACGCAGCCGCAGCCGCAGCGCAAGCGCAGGCGGAAGAAGGAAAGTGAAGACGTCGGCGCGCTGCCGGCCCACCTGCTGCCGGCAGAACACGAACGTGAACGCAATTGCTAGCGATGTCAACTGTAAATGTGGATGCTAAGTGCTGAGATGTGCAAGTGAATGTGGATGCTATTGTTGCTGTTGCTGTTGCTCTCGCTGTGGATGTCGAATGGCAGCGATGGCTGCGTGAAAATGCCGCCCAACGAGTTTCGCAATAAAGAGAAAGTGTCCAAAGGCTGTTCTCGCGATCGTAAAGAATAAATTTGTGTTTCCTGTTTGCTGCATACCTTTTGCAACGGTCTCACCAAAAAAAAAAAAAAAACTACTACTGCAAGGCAACAGCAAAATGAAAAGAGCTGCAGAAAAAAGAGAAGCAGATTTCATCTTTATCAGGGAGAAAGAAAGTTATGCATTTATACACGCATATTAAGCCTGTTGCTAGGGTCTTCACGGAACCGTCAAAGGGAACGGCACAAAAAGCGCAATTTGGTAAAAATAAAACACATATAAAACTAAACTGGAAATGTGCTCGCCAAAATTCCAAATGCGGCCAAAAATACTTGTCGCTCCGCACCGTCTGTGGAATTCAAAGTGGAAGCGTGCACAGTGGTGCCAGCACAATAGGAAATAGCACAGATCACAGCTATGCATATACAAACAATACATACATACGTACATACATATGTATTTATGAAACTGATAAGAGGCTGATGATGGAAGGCATTTGTTGGATTCCAATATCAATATTCATATTAAAACAAGTAAGAAGACTCTAGTCGAGACTGCTCGACTAGGAGATACCCT